CTCTTCATAAGTGCACGTTGGGCTCTCATGTTGGCATGCTTAGAAGGATGTTTGGGAGTTATTCTCATGTTGGCATGCTTAGAAGGATCCCCTTTCGCCTTGCTCATTGGTTGCGGCCTTTGGTGTAAGTCCCTTGGGTCGGGGGTTTGATCCTTGTGTATGATAGAATTGCACACCTACCTGGAAGGGGGTCCACCCCTCGGTCAGACTTTAGGGTTGATCAGCGATCAACCTTTAGAAAAAAAAAATACATATATATATTTCGCTCTGCTAGAATTTCCGTTAATGGCGAACCCTAGCCCGAAACAGACTTCTACTTTCTTTCGCTCTTTTCGATCCTTTCTGTCTTCATCAACGGCTTTGGCTGGTGAAGGAGCTTGTTGCGTCGTCTGCTCGTCTGCTGCGTCGTCTACTTCGAGCCTGCTCTTCGTCTGCAGCTCGCGTCCGCGACACTTCGAGTTGCAGGTTCTCTCGAGCTGCTCATCTGCTTCGTCAAGGCCGCTCGATTATTCCGCCACAGTTTTCTGCTCGACCTTCTGGACTGCTCTCATACCGTTTTCTAGACGACAGTTGGTTGCTGCAGTGCTTGTGTGAAGCACGCTAATGGCCTCAAGTTCTTCCTACGCTGCCACAAATAATGTCTGAACAAAAATCAGGATAGCCCTACAGCTTCTATTCAAGAAGCATCAATTGCAGAGGTGACAATTCACACTTCAAATACATTGGAAATTATCGCTGTGGCAACGACTTTCTTTCCTTCTACTGCAGTTCTAACATCTAATCAGACCGATGATCACATGAGCCAGTTTTTAGATGAAGAATGACAGGTTTACACTTCTCGGCGGAAGAAGAAGGCTGGGGGCTCACTCCAACTTGAAAACTCAATGGATGATATTTTAGTTACTCCTGACAATGACACGACTCTTCAAAGTTATCTGACTCCGCTCCTAAAACTAGAGGAAGAGACATGACTAAACTGGTTTGTCCCTTGCTACCTGTTTTCTGCATGTTTTAAATTTGTTTTACATTTTTATTGAGTCTATCTGTATTTTTTTGTTGAGGTATTATTGTATGAGTTGGGTGCCTCTATTGAGCCTTCTCATACAACCTTTATGTATCATTTCTATTTCAATAAAATCAGCCCTTGGACTTTTCATATATATATACATATATATATATATATATATACATATATATACATATATATATATACATATATATTTATTGAGGGTTGTCACATAACTTTGATTATTGAGGGTTGTCACATAACTCTGATTGTTCACACTCTCTTCATACTAATTCCTTATTGGTCTCTGATTTCTTTACTCATGAGATTTCTCCAAATTGTGTTCTATTGTGGGGGAACAAAATGCAAAACATATTCTTACTATTCCTATTACATCTACACGAAAGGATCTCCCCATGTGGAAAAGAAACAATTCTCAATCGGTTTGCAAACTTATTTATGACAATTTACATTCACATCGTGATTGGTTATGGGGAAAATGGATTTGGCATAAACTTTCATCTCCCTCTATATCATTTTTCCTTTGGCGCTACCTCACTTCTTTAATACTTATTGATGATATTCTTAAGTTAAAAGGCTTAAAAATGGTCTCGAGATGTCATATGTGCAAAATGGAGGACGAAGACATGAGACACATTTTCTTTGAATGTGCTTTCTCTTTAAGAATATGAGATGTGCTTGGTGCACATTTCAGTTTTTCTTGGATGCATAGAGGCTCTTTAAGCAAATATTTATGGCAATGGAAAGATTTTGATATCAGTAAGAAGGGGTTTCCCCTTCCTTTACTAGTTCTTTGGTTCCTTTGGAACTCCAAAAACAGTTTTAAATAACACACTTCTCCCCTCACTGCTTTTATGACTGTTGCTTATGTGATTGCCTATTACAATAAAGTCTTAAGGGCTGCTTCTACTGAGGTTCAGGTTTTAAACCCCCCCGGCTCATTAGGTGGGCTCCCCCCTCACCGGGTTATGTTAAATTAAATGTGGATGGTTGTTGGCATCCTGATTATGCTGCGGTTGGGGGAATATTTAGAGATTTTGAGGGTAGGTGTCTCTGTTTTTCACTTCCCCTGTTGTTATTGATAATCCATTGGAAACGGAATGCTGGGCTTTTTTTTTGGCATTAATGGTGGCTAATGTTTTTAATTTTCATAGATTAGAGGTGGAAATGGATTTTAAAATGCTCTATGATATTCTTTTGGGTACCTCTCCTCCCCTCTGGGATATATTATGCACTTTTAAACGTATTTTAATTTTTATGGCTGAAAAACATCTTGAGATAAACTTGAAATTCATTCATAGAGAGGGCAACTCCCCTGCTGATTGGCTTGCCAAGCATGCAGGGGAGGTCAGCCAAGCATGCAGGGGAGGTCTGTCACGTTGGTATCCACCCCCCTGCTCCTCTTAGAAGACTCCTCATTGGGGAGATAACTTAAATCTGCCTTATGTTTGTTTTTAATCATTTCTGCTTATTGGCTCTAAGGAGGAGCTGCTTGCGGTTTAGATGGCTGGGGTCTACATTTCTCCTCTTGCGGGTTTTATTTTTTGCTTGGCAGGTTTTCATTTTGCTGCAGGTCGAGTTCAGTTTTCTGTTTCCCTGTTCCTGGCTCCTTTTTACTGTTTTGATCTCACGATTTTTGCTGGTTTTCTCTGCCCGTGGAGATGATTTTGGAGAACTCTGCTAATCTGAAGACACATTTGTACATGATTTCTACTTTAATTTTCAAGTTACTTCTCAAGCTACACAAGATCACAGGCTTACTTATTTTTTGGCCTTTTGTTTTTTTTTTTTTGGTATACCTGTATTTTGGAGATTCTTTTTTGTGTGAGTTGTACTGTGGGGAGAGGAACCCCTAGGAGTGTGTCAATTTTATTTTTTGGGTTTCATAGACGGGGATCCTCCCTCCCCACCTTATTTTGAAATTAACGCTTACGGAGTCACCGCTGCTCTTCCCCCCTATATATATATATATATATATATGTGATTGAGGCTAAGCTTGGATTTCATCTTTGCTATGCTTGGGAGAAAATATTTGGAGCCTTTATTTGCTATTGGTTTGCTGATTTTGAAGGTCACGGTTTAAACCTTGTTGAATTCACATTTTGGTTGTTCGGGAGGAATACTTGTAGCTTTCTTTGCTACTTATTTACCATTTTAACAGGAGTGATTTAAAATGCATATTTGGGTTCTCATTTCGGAATGAGTAGAGAAGGGTTTGGGCCCTTCCTTACTCTTTGCTTTACTGATATGGATGGGGGTGCTTTCTTTGCTATTTATTTTATTGATTTTTGAAAGAGGATGCATTTAATGAGCTCTAGGTCTCAATCTTTTCAAAAGTTCACATGCTTGCAACCCTATTTTTATATACTTTCATATCTCACACAAAATCTCCAATATTTACAAACCTATCACGCAATTCTTTATACTTGCGCTCAATTCTTCCGCATTTATGTATCCAACACCTTGAGTTTACATTCCTCTATTTGTGGGTCATTTAACATATTCGTGGAAGGATATATTGATGATCTTTTGGTAAGCTATGGAAGAGCCGGAGCATTATGGATGCGAAATTTAATAATAGATTTGTAAATATATAAGAATTGGGTGGCATGCACGCAAGTGTGTGTTGAAGCTCTTTCATCTTTTTTTTTTTTTTTTTTTTTTTGAAATCATATAAATTAATATGGCATACTATGGGATATGTGCAATGTGCACCATTGCCTATATATAGTGTAAATAGTGTGCACTATTTTAACCCTCTGCACCTTGCAATGAAAAGGGCATGGGAATGTACCACACCACTCTGCGCCATATTGTGTGCTATTTATTCTATGAAGATGTGTGATCATGGGTGGTAGCATGTGAGCCAGGTCTCATGGCAAGTCTTGCACATTAGTTCTAGCATGCGGGTAAGAGCAAGCAGCAACTAGCGGGTGAGAAAGAGGCGTGTGGGAGTAAGTTCAGGAGTCAGGTTAGGTGTGGCGAAAGTGGACATGGCTGTTGTAATTGAGATTGGGATTGGTAATAGGAAACGGGAGTGAGGGTAACGGCTAGGAGTAACTTGACTATAATACAATGTTAGTGGAGAAATTTAGTGCCTTTTTCTATTGAAATTTCTTATATTTATAATTGTGAACAAATATGATATTTTAAGGTCCATCCAATTGATATGCATCTCACTCAATATATCGAAAATTTTTCTATTTGATTTTGTTGTCGAAAGGAGCACAATTTGTTCAGAGTTTGTTTCCTTATGAGGTAGATGTGCGGTCTTCATCAGCAGGTGCTTTGATCGGCTTCTTCTTTGAAAGCTTGAGTATCTCAGTTTTTCATCTTTTATTTTTCCTCTACTACTGTTGGCCTAATTAATGTTTGCAGCTAAAATAGTCTTGAATCTGTGAGCTGTGAACAATTATATAAAGCAAGGGTTGTATCAAATGCGTTGTTTTTTACCATGTGGGTAATGCCTATCTATGCATAGACAATGGGATGCGAAATAAAATAAATGAATGCTTCCGATTTAATATTAGTTAATTAAAGATTTAACGTTCATAGTCTTTGTTCGACAGATGTTGGAGTCAAAATTTAGCATCAATGTTGAAAAAAAATCTGTAAAATCTTGCCTGAACGGATTCTTGAGGATGCACAGGATTTTTGAATTTTATATCCCAGTGCTCTGTTACCTACCTAGTAGAGATCCTGGATATGTTTTGATACAAAGTTGATGCTAGTTCTGCCAAGCTTTATATACTTGTGTCATGTTTGTATAAAAACCTTGACTTCGTTTTCATCTCTTTATAAAGTATATTGCTTATCTCAAGAATAAGATCAATTTATTTTTTCTTTGATACAAAGATACCTTCTTGGCATACGCCTAACTTTTTGAAAATTTGTTTTAAGCTTTACAAGCTCTGTTATTTAACTTGCTTTCATTGCTCCTTTTGAATAACTGTCAATTCATTATCTTTTTCAGATTACTACCAAAAGAATTAATTTTTTAGTTCATAAGCACCGCAATGGAAGTTCTATGCTAGACCTAGCGGGCCCAAATTGTCATAATGAGAAAGATCGGAGCTGGTTAATCTCTTCACTTCATCAGATGCACAGTAGAAGGTTGTTACTCAAAACTTATTCTTGTGTGTGTGTGTGTTTTTTTATTTTTTTATTTTTTTATTTTTTTTTGCCGGTTATTAATAAGGAAGTCAGAGGTAGACCTAGGAAGACTTGGGTTTATTGTATAAAAAATGATCTTAATTTATTAGAATTACATGAAAATATGACACTAAATAGGAAAATAGGACGCAATGGCAATGGAGCAAAAGGATTCACGTAGTGGAATTAAGACTTTTTTGTTAATGTTGTTGTTGTTGCCAGTAATTGTAAGAGGGTAGAAGGATACAAATTTATTCATGGAGGTGGGAGGTGAGAGGTTGAAAAGGGGAGAATAAATAAAAAACAATGCATGAACAATTTGCAAAGATTAGCGTATACCACTTACCAAAAGAGAGCACTCAAATAAGTATTAAGAATAATTCCATTCAGCTGATGTTAATTGTTGATGATCTGAATACTAGCCAAGATTTTTTATTTGTATAATTAAGGTTTCAAACTTAATGTCAAGTATTTTGGAATCAAATCTAATTTTGCTAAAAATTCAAATTCAAATTTATGGTGCATAAGAGAATAATAATAATATTAAAAAAGGAACATAAATAATATATATGAAAAGAAATAAAATCAGGATGCAATCCCCTCTTCCCTCACTAGTAGTGGTAATAATAATAATAATAATTGAGTCAAAAAATTTTCACATCTCAACGTATTTGGTTACAAACACGCCAATGAACAATCAAAATGTAGTTTTGCAAATCACTGCAAAATATATGCGTCAATCCGAGTATTTGTTACTCTTAAAACATGCAGATTGCATCAAAACATATGCAGTGACCAAATGATAAATGAATATAAACCTCACACACATTTCAGTGAAAACATCATTCCAAACGAGAATATGAAAATAGAAATTAGAGTAGCTTCAACATGTTGCGCACATTTTAAGGAAAAATGAATATAATTCACGAGCTCTAACATGTGTTTAAAGCTCTTTAAAAAGCACGACAACCCATTTTTCTAATTAGACATATCATTATGTTGAATGTATGCACACTTGAATAACTTGAAAGGCGAAAGGATGCTCCTAATATTTTGAGATATTTAAAAAAATGAGAAAAAAAATAAAAGTTGATCAAATCCCCAAAAAATATATTAAATTTTTCTTTTAAAATTTTTATAAAATATTTTGAGCATTTACAAACCTTCTCGCTTGCATCTTGTAGCATTCAATTCCAATTTTCTTGATTGAAAGTTATAAAAAAAATTCCAATTTTCTTTTGAATTATCAAGGTGGAAGCAAATGCCAAAAATAATGTGGGATTTTACTTCTAGGCTAGTTCTTTTGCAAACAAACAAATAGAGTTACGAAGGCTCCTATGCATTGTAACAATCACATGATTTGACAGTTAAAATTTTTGTGATCTAGGCTCAATCATAACTCTATCCATATTAACCGTTAAAATTGGGAATGTTCAATATATATTGCATCTATTTTAAGTAAAGCATCGTAAAATCTATTGAATAGCTTTAATTGGAAGATCTTACAATCGAGTGGGGTAATAATTAATCACATGGACTTATACTTATGGGTGACCTTGAACCTTAGATAATATACTTACATGAGAAATCTATAGATAGAATCTTATCTAATTATCCTTTTTTCTTGAAAATTCAATTTAAAACCACTCAAATATTTTATAGAATTGGGTGGAAGGTTTCTAAGAGCCCACAAATACACTGATCTATCACTAATTAGGTTAAATATATTGGGTGTCAGGAACATCATCATCAACACCAATTGAATAGCTTTAATTGGAAGATCTTCTTACAATCGAGTGGGGTAATAATTAATCACATGGACTTATACTTATGGGTGACCTTGAACCTTAGATAATATACTTACATGAGAAATCTATAGATAGAATCTTATCTAATTATCCTTTTTTCTTGAAAATTCAATTTAAAACCACTCAAATATTTTATAGAATTGGGTGGAAGGTTTCTAAGAGCCCACAAATACACTGATCTATCACTAATTAGGTTAAATATATTGGGTGTCAGGAACATCATCATCAACACCAATATTCTTTTTAATTGTAACTTCACCATCATCAACAAAATAGATGGTTTTCAAAGCAACCCATTGAGCAAAATTGTTGGTCGCCATCATATTTTTCAACTATGTTAGAGTGTATTCTAGCCATGTCATTGCATACTAGTTCAGTTTTTTTAATTTTGAAAAAATACTTCATAATTTACGATGGGTGCGGTGATCGATAATCATAATCGAAGTGGATTCTCCCAATAAAGAATGCTCACAAATTTTGAGATAAGTTTTAAGACGAAATCCATTCAAAGATACTCCTATTAAAAAAATAAAGTGAAAAGTTTCATGCAATAATTGGTTGTTTCAAGCTCATAGCATTAAACCATCAACCTTCCATATTAGTTTATCTAGGATGGTAAATAAATATTTGATCACGTTTTATAAATATCAATATTATATCAAATGTATCTGTATAGTCATTCTCAATAATCTCTCACTAGTAAGGATGTGAATCTGCTCTCTGATCAAGTGGGTAGCTGATCCGCCTCATTGATTATCACAATAATATAAGTCTTGGTAATGACACTAAAAACTTGATCCGCTCTCTAGCAAATTAATTGAGTTCTTAAAATTAGGTATTATTACTCACTGAGGTTTCTCAAGCAAGTATACGTATTGTTTCAGTAATATAGGGCTCTATTGAGTCTGGATTGTCGATCCCACAGGGAAGGAGGTAATGAGTTTTTTAGGCGAATTTTTAGTCTACTACGCTAAGGTCTTAGTTCAGAATGCAAATTAAAATGGTTTTTCTAACAATTACTTCTAAACTATAACATACGTTTAAAGCTAAACAATCTATATCAATTGATTTGGTGAATTTCAAAATATGAAAGCCACCTTTCTCTTATGATTGGCTAAGTAGATTGTAGGATCGAATACCAATAATTGTTAATATGGCTATTGACAAATAGGAGCATATATCTTGTTTACCATCTTTCGAGTGCGTAAGGAAGTTTGGTTTAACTTGGTAAGTATTTCTGTTTGTCAACGTAGAAACTCCCAAGTTATACTCATCAAAATCTATCTCCCTATTTATTTGCATTGCCCAATAGACTACTTTTTCTTGACCCACTAGTTCAATGTGATCTCCCTAGATGTTATTTTCATAGCTCTTATGAGTCTTTATGGGTTCACAACAAATTTTAACAACTTATATGACCAATACAAAAAGTAAATGAAGCATAGAAGGAAAGGTCGTCACATTAGTATTAAAATCCAACTCTAAAGCATTCAACACATCCTACAAATCCTACTTATTCATCACAAGATAAAAGTAAAGAAAATCTACTCACAAAGCATGAATATTAAAATAGAAATCATAATCATTTAACAAAACAAATACACTAAATATGTGTTTACAATAAGTCCAAGACAAATGGAAACACAATACTTAGCTTTTCTACCTCTTAAAAGAGTTGAAGAGTTCCTCCAACAATGAATCCAAGTCCTCCCTGCAATATTTCTCTTACAGATTTCTCTCTAAACCCCTCACCAATCTCTTAAGAAAAGGTAAAAATCTACAATCCCTACTCCTACTACGACCTCTTGGCGTTCCTAGAGAATTCCAGGACTTGCAAATACCAAAAAGTACTTTTCCAGTCTTCGACTTGCGTCAAATAACCTCTGAAATCGCCGCTTTCTCGGTTTGCTGGGAGAACTCTGGCGCCTAGGCGCCCAGAACATGGTGCCAATGCACTATGGAGTAGCGCCTTGGCGCCCAAAACGTTGCGTCAAGGCGCCGGTCTGCTTACAACACCCTTTTGCTCCATTTGTTTTTTTTTTTCAGTTCCAATTCGTTCCAAATGTCCCACTTGTTATACCTGCAAATTAAACATGAAAATAGATTTCTTTAAAGTGCAATTTCATTCAAACACAAGTGTTAAATATAAAGAAAATTAAGCATGTTGAAACACATATGAGTAGCTTATACTATGATTATGGCTGAGCTCGAAAGATCCCAAATGGCTATGTTTATGAGTTGTGAGGAATAAAATGCACTCTATATGGCATGAAACCTTGTGTTAGCAAGGTCATGTTAATATTTGTCCCTTGTAGTTTTTTGTTGGTATGTGAGGTTTCATTAGATGATGAAACAGATGGTTATCAACAAAAAAAATTTCTATCAGGTTTGGTTAATTAGTTTTACCAAGTAAGCCAAGTTGTATAATAATTTAGGTTGATGGAACTATGAGATTTTGATTACGCTTTTCATTAGTTTTTTGTCATCCACTTTCACCCAATATTAATTTATATATTTAATTTCTTCAAACAATTTTTTCGCTACTAAAGCAAAGCATCATAGATTATATAAATTAGCCTTAATCAAAAGTTTTCTCTCATGGTTGAAAGGGATAATCAATCATAGGCATCCCTTATAAGAAACCTTGAGTCATAATGTCTTTGAAAAGTGCAACATTTTTTAGAGCATGCAAACACATAAAGACATCAATAGTTAGATCAATCATTATATGTGACATCAGTTTAGGGCTCCTAGAAGATGTTTAGAACGTGAGTTTGCGGTCGGTAGTGGATTAATAGAAACGGTATGAAAATATGGGCATTCGATGATGTTTTAGCGTAAAAGATCAGTTCAGCGGATGCCCCGACTGAAAATAGCTAGGAAGATGGCAAAACGACGTGGTACGGACGGTGAGGAGGTTTACCGCCCTTACCTGAACAAGCCATAGGCACACCACTTTTAAAAGAAAAATGATACAACTCTCCTTATGATTGATAGCATATATTACATTCTCCAGAATACTTAAACCAAAGCTACTCTCAACAACAACAAAATACATGAATAAATAGTTTCATAATAGAATGACCCCTAATTAGAAGTAAATAAATAGCAAAAAAATGAAAAGGCAAGATATTTTCTCCCTGAAGCTGTATC